TTAATCGTTGGAAAGTTGTTGCATGATGCTCAGGTGACCTATAAGGCCCATGGGCCTCTTGTTAAACTTCGTTTCAAATCAAACTTTAGGCTTTCAAAGTCTTATTGATAATAAACTGAAATGAAATGCATTAAGATAACAAATAGGGATAATTTTCTAATGAAAATCATTAATTGATAAATAAATAATCAGAGCCAACAAGGACATCTAAAACAGAGGTGGGATCATAAAACATTGTAATGTTTAATGACGAACTGAAGTAGTGCACGAATGCCTGATTAACTTCATGGAAACAGTATATTGAAAAGAATTTTGTTTACACCTTCCATACAGTCTAAGACTTAACATAAATTTTAAAAAAAGAAAAATTGCAATTAAGTTCTGAGCTAATATCAAATATAAACCCTCTGTATGTTAACTGACTTGGTTCGAAGGAACTGAATGTTTTGTCGAATCCATGTATCAAAACTTTTAGACTCTGCAGGTCAGTTGTTTATTTGCTGTACTTAGAGAGTTCGGTAAAACCGATTCGTTCCCGAGATTCCAGTCAAGTTATGTTTTGTTTTGCCTGTCTCTCTCAAACCCAGAATGAACTACTCTTAACATGTCATGATGGTCAAAAATCTTGACCTGAGTAAAACATCGGAAATCTTTCACCTATAAAACAATTTCAAAAGATATATTTGCATTTTTAAAGAAAGCAAATAGACAAAAAAAATCCTCACACGTTACAAATTTTATTTGTTGGAATATGTTTCTTGGATTTTTACAGAACTTGAATAAACACAGACGAACGAGCAAATACATTGAAGTATTCTCATATCCGTTTTCCATCAAATAAGAATAAAAAGTCTATAAATTCATTAACTGCCCTATTACTGTCGGTTCGTGAATACATTATTCCTCATAAAATTTACGAACATACTGACTTATTCATTACACAAGGTGTTTTATTCAGGAAATCGGGGTTGTATCGGGGGGTTAAAGGTTAAAAAATATATGCATAATTATTTCTCTCTGGGTCAGAATGACCAAGCTATGTAGTCCGGTTACTACATAAGCAGGGGATACGATGACTGCATGGTATTATTTTCTAGGAGAAATATATGGAGATGACGAACAGTATTCAAACTCAACAGTGCATTAAACAATACAAATTAGGTGCAGAGCAAACAAAGAAAGAAACATCAGAGGTGAGATCAGGTGCCATGGAGGAGTGACCATCCCCGGCAAACCCGTCACACCTGCTGTGTGCTTCTCATCGTAATTTGAAATTAACAAAACTTCATTCAATGTGTAAAAATGGCCTAACAATGTAGGTCGAAAGTATAAACACATATTGCAGAAAAATTCATGGAATATCCATAACAAGAAAATGAATTAATGAATGTGTAGCCAGAAATGTTGTTGTATTCAAGTTCTCTTAGTTATGACATTCGATCTTAATTTTATTAAACATATTTTTTATTTCATATATGCATTCTCCCCTCGAAATCATACTTAAGTTATTTTGGTAAAATTATTCATAACAATGGCGCTGATTTATAGAATACACTCATAAAACGGGATATACGAGACAGCTGTGGCAATAGACAAGCCATTGTTGCCCGTTATTTTAGCACTGGTCAAATTATAAATGCAAAAGCCTGATATAAACATGATCCGTGTAGCAGTTCCCTTTGATTCAATATTTTGTTATGAAAATATATTGCTGCATTTTTCTATTCAAGCTTCTAGGTCTTCCGAGACTATTAAAAAAGTCTATCCAATCTTGCACCATTATTGGTTATTTGCAACTTCCTGTTTCTCCAAGATAATGCAGAATTTTCCGGAATAATTTCCAGCATTTATAAATTATAAATGTATAAAAAATGAAAAGATAAGGTACACATTTTTTCTAAAGGAATACATGAATTATTTTAACATTCGTTCTTTTTTTTTAAGTCGATTACCAGGGACAATCACGAATATTAACATTGAACCCTGTATGGTTAATTAGTAGACTATACTACTGTTATTCATCTTTTGTTCTGAATATATTCTGAATATTTCTTACATACAATTATTACTGATTCCTTATGTATTCAGAGAATAACGATAATTTTCATAGTTCAATCTATTACAGCGTACGTCATGTACATTTGAAATCAAAGTTTTTAGATCATAATGGCTGCAGACCTATACCACACAGGAAGATGCCGGGAGCTTCGTCATGCTGCGTTTTCGATTGGTTGTATTCCCAATCTGGCATTTTATGACGGCTTTTGTCAGAGTTTAATTTTTGTGAACTATTTATTAATTGCTACTGGCAGTCCTGGAGATTTTAAGTATCCAGTAGATTATAGAAAGGCAGTTGTATCAGATATAGTTTATCCAGGAACGACAACAAATGTCGGCATGACTTCCTTTTAACGAAGTGGCCTTTATGTAAAATTAATTACAGAATAATGTCGAAAAAAGCTCGTGGCCGTATAATTACGATGGCGAGCTTCGTAATCTTTATGGCAGTAAAATTATCGCTATTGGTGCTCCAACTTTTAATAAAGATTTTCAATATCTGTTGTTATGGAAAAACGTGCATTCAGCATGTAATCTTCTATATCATAGTTTTTTATGTCTTTGGAGCTCACTAAGACGATTATATTTAACGATTTTTCAAAGAACTTTCCCATAATTCTGATTTCTCTGTCTGATAAATGGAAGGTAATGACATTAGTTACACAGTCTGTGATTCTTCGCTTCATACGAATCTGCTATTAGGCTGTTAAATGAACTGAAAGCGTCAAGACTGTTACTGCCACGTGGAACAAGTGTCCGAAAGATTCTGTTAATAGAATTTGTTTTTTATCTTCTCAGATAAATAAATTACATGTAAATCCTTATATTAAGCTATGTATAACGTATTATATATCCAAGAGCTCCCGGAGTCCTGAGGGTCAGCTGAGAATGGGGTTTATAGACTATTCGTTTGAAATCTTAGAACTGTTTCCGGAACTCTTAGATACAGAATTAGTCTTTTGGCCATAAAACTAGGCCGCTTGGACATGGATTCTACTAACTGGACAGTGGATTTATTATCTTTTGTATCATAATACAGTTTGTCGGCAAGATGCTTTGAAGCTATGAAGGAACCATTATTAACATTTACCCCCAGGATCCTTCCTGAAGTTGGACTAAAAGGCACCATTGTGGTAGAAAGCTCAAAGATTGCCATCGTAAATACTGTTTGCTGGACGCCAATGTGAAGAATATTTTCAAAGTATGATAAACATGTATACTGGCTTTTCACTGAGTTAACTCCCCCTGGGGTCTGATCTGAACCAATGCAGAGATGAATTTTATAACTGCGATACACTGCATAAAACACAGTTTGCATGCTAGATATCTATTACTCATGAACCAAGGCTTTAAAGGGTACCATTTCGTATCAACTTCGTTCAATTCTGAAGGGTCATTAGCTTAAAAAATGAATTAAGTTGATACTATACGAAGTTGGTCTAAATGATAATGCTCTAAGGGTCACGATAAGAGGAGTGGAATTCCCCTGTGGGACGTGGAGACTGATCATTCGGATGGTACCGTATAAACCGAGGTTCCCTGTCGCAGTAGGTGCTGGCACGAAAAAGAACCCTCCCTGCTCAATGACCCTGAGTAGCCTACCGAATTTAGGACAAAATTTGCAATTTTCACAGGCAAGTGGTGGCGCCTCCATATGAGTGAAAAATTCTCGAGTGGGACGTTAAAAATACAATCAATCTGAAAGATAAATTCCTTTAAACCCTTATACTTTATTTCATTTTTATTGCATTGTGTTACCTCTATGTATACCCTGGTAATCAACTTTTCAGCCTTTTTCAGGTTTAGATTTTTTTATGGTAGTTTATAAATTTAAATGAGAATAGATTTAGTTTATTCTTTGAAATTTATCGAATTCAATTAAAGTATAACGAGTTCTATCTCGCTGGCTCAGGGTGGATTCTTAAAGAGACACAATTGTATTGTTATACTGTAGATTCCAATATGTATGTTTATAAATTAATTTTTAATACTAGTCATATCATGTATACTTTGAATGGTAGGGACCCAGGGGGGTGAAGCCCCCGGAAGCTCTTGGGTTTTCGTGTATATTTAAAAGAGTAAAGCTAGGCACAATAACAGTAGTTTTGGTGAGTTATGTACCAAAATGTGGCATTATTGATATTAGTCATATCATACTTAGAAATTTTTTTTTGGGGGGGGGGGGGTCGTGCGCCCAACACGCCCCCTTAAATCCGCCATTGGCTCTGATGCTTCCATGAAGGAATAAAACGATCATGACATATTCTTTCTAAGTTTGGCGCGCGGGTTTTCGAGAAGGGAAATATTTGGGAGTAAAAACAATATACACTTTTTCAATTGCACTTATTTATAACCATGTTCATACGATGTCTCGATTTGCTTGCTCAATATATTTTTTCTTGTCTCTTTTCTTTAATACGTTGTACCTATTTTTAAAACCCTATGATTGTTGAGGGTAATCTATCTTTGAGGAATGTCAATTTCAACTCAGGGAGGGGTTAATCTAAATACACTGTATATAGGAGTATTAGTAAGGCAGCGACATTTGCACAGAAAATTTAAATTAAACACAATAAAGACATTAGCCCAGGATAAACAGTTTCACTTCAAAGTCCCCCTTTGAGAATTGTTTCAAGATATAATCCCTCCTTCGTTTGAATAAAACGATCTTTTTTTTTTGGTAATCATGTTTAAAGTCCAAAAATATGCAAATATCTTAATCTTGTTTCTGCAGTCCGATCTCCGTTTCCGAGTGATTAGCATTTACATGTAATTATTCGTTTCTATATTACGAGAATCAGCATACGTTCGACGATCTAGCTCCAAGATCGATTTCCGTATTTTTCCGCTGCCGATTTCATTATCGTTGAATGAATGTTAATCAGTCGGGAGAATGGTAATAGAATATTGACTATGTTAACCATATGGTAAGAAATACGTACCTTATTTCAGTTTCCAGGACAAAGTCTTCACAATGTACCAAATTCCGAGTATCATTTTCCCCTAGAAATGAAGAGAATACCATTTATTTAACTCCTATGTAAAAATTTTGCTTCACATCTGAGTGTAGGAGCAGTAATGAAACGATAAAATGTGCTCAGTTGTGAAATTTTACCGGTATTACGGTAATAATTCAAATTCTCCTTCCTAACACAACCATGAAGAATTAAGGCGTATTCATTATAAACATTTTTCAGCACATTATTTTTTTCCGTCGCAGAGTCTTTGCCGAGTATCGATCTCAATCGCGGGCATCACCTGGATTCCAGAGAAACTGAGCAAAAAAATATTTTAATGTAGAAATCTGAAGAGGCCGGGAATATGGCGCTTGTGATTTGTAGTCAGAGGAATGTTTATGATAACATTTTGATGAATTCGATGCCAAGGTGTATTTTTTCCAGCAGATTATTATTTGTTTTTATCTCGACAAGAGAGCAGTTTTTCCTAACTGGAGAAAGAAGTGCTCTCACGGCATTTTATAGCAGGAATTAGGTTACGTATAAGTGTGAATTTTTGACTAGAATAAAATGTATACACTTGTACAAGTCTCATTTTTTTCTCCTTTTTTGCTATATTTTTTATGAAAACTGGATACATTGTTGTGTTGAAACTAAGATATTCTTCGTTTTAAATATAGTTCTTATAAAAAGGACACATTATAAGCCATGCAGCTAAGATTTTGAAAAATCCTTGTTGTTACTTGGATTAAGCAGCTGGTCTAGTACATTGACAGTTACAGATCCTATAAAGATTGGAGTTTTAAGCACCATTCTTGTACATTGTATTATATGAAGTCCATCTCACCATTTATATTTCACTTGTTTTTTTCAATCATGTTGTAAGGATAAATAACACAAATTTTTTGTCAGATATTGTATTTAAATAGGTAACCTGAATGATATTTTCCAAAATATGGTAGAATTTTGCAAGATTTTATGTATAAAAAAAAAAAAGAATTTTGCAAGATTTTACGTAAAAAAAAAAAGAAGAATTTTGCAAGATTTTATGTAAAAAAAAAAAAAAAAAAGAATTTTGCAAGATTTCATGTGAAAAAAATGTTAATAATTTTGTATAGAATTACATAGAAAACGATAAAAAGTCGGGAAAAAAAATAAGTATTAAAGAAAAATTACGATTTCTTTATATTTAAGGTATTTAGGTATGAGAAAACGAGGTACTTTTTTGACAAAAAAGTTGCTGATTCAATTAGTCTCGTTTAACGTTATCAATTCGTTTAAGTTCTATCATATGGTCGATACAATGATTTTGTCAGCAAATACAATTCATCTTTAAGAAGGCTAGGGGATCAACAAATTATTTTTTTTGTTAACCACCAGATATAACTTAAATTTTGGAATATGATATCTTAAGCTTTCAACTATCATTTGGCAAAGAAAAATTTCATAAATTTTAGTTTTAAAATTTTATCATTTGGTTATATCTTTTATATGGAGCTCTTCTTTTAAAGGAGATCAAAATAGTCTAAAAATGGCCACAACCACCCAGCCCCTTTAAGTCAAATGCTGACTGACGTTTTTCATGCTTATTGTTGGGCCATTACTTACACACTGAGTTGTCCACGGATTTTTCACTATTTCCCGACTATAACAAGGAGCACACGGTGGGTGTGACCGGTCGGCAGGGGATGCTCATTCCTCAATGGCACCTCATCTTTTCTAGCGTAAATACATTGCTGAAATACTGCCTACTCAGCATAAAACAACAGATACCAGTAATCGATCAATCAGTTAGGGTAGCTGTGCGTGGAATCCCAATACTTTTAAACAGATTAATTTTGTAGATACACTCACAATGAAAAAGGTATGAGAATTCATATTTCCACTTAATTGGTTAAGCAGTTGCTTATTATGTCAAAAAGTCTGATTTTGCGTGAGTAAAGGCTGTATAAAGCCTGTTTTTTTTAGCTCTACTGGTCAGAGACCAGGAGAATTTATGCGATAGGAAGGTGACCGTCGTCCGTCTGTAAACAATTTTTAAAACGCTATTCCTCCTACAGTTTTGGTCTGATTTAAATATAATTCGGCAGACAGGTAGACTACACTAAGATACATAATTTAGTGCATCGGTTTGTTATTTCGATGAATAATGTTGCTATGGTAACAAAAAATAGAAATTTCAGTGAAATTCCTTTAAAACGCTACCCCTCTTACAGTTTTGGTCTGATTTCAAATATATAACTCTAAGATACATAATTTAGTGCATCGGTTCTTGATTTTGATGAACAATGTTGCCATGGATATTAAAAATAGAATTTTCTGTGAAATTCCTTTAAAACGGTATTTCCTCCTACAGTTCTGATTTCAATATAACTTGGCACACAAGTAGACTACACTAATATACGTAATTCATTTCATCGGTTTTTGATTCGATGAATGGTGTTGCTATGGTTACTACAAACAAAAAATTCTGTGAAATTTCTTTTAAACTCTACTCCCCCAACACTTTTGGTCTGATTTCAATATAATTTGGCACACAAGTAGACTACACTGACTAAGATACATACTTCTGTTTATCGCTGCTTGTTGCTAAGTTTCAAATCCAAGTGCTACTTTTTCTTTGTTATACGTACAGAGCAGTAGAGCTCTTCTGGTTAATGATTAAGGGAGAAAATTCCAATTTTTTCCATTAATGTTTCTTTTCAGTGTTTGAGAATCCACATTTCATTTGTACTAATTCTTCAATATGATGTATCACAATATTGTACGCGAAGAGTCAAGATTAGCCAAACACTGCACTGTATCTTGTTTGTAGGTTTGAGAAATCTGCTTAGGTAAAAGTTTACTTCCGTTAACTTTTTTTAAAAACATGTTAAAAGTATTTAAAGACGAGGCAGAATTTTGTAGAAATTTATTGTTTGAAAGCTAGTAATAATATTATAATTAAATTGGATTTCAAGATGTATATGAAAAACCTTTAGTTCTTCCAAAAAGCTGGTATACAGTCTATTTTGTTACAGACTGTGTTAACTGGAACCATTGCACATTGTTCATATGCTGTCGTGCTTATTCTTTATCACCTCCGATTTACTAAAAAAATACGAAATTTAAGGTAGGATTTTTCTCACACAAAACTGTATTTCTTGTATTTAAAAATAAATGAAATTTTCACAGAATCAAGAAGACAATATTACTAAGTGACGGTATCAGTTAGATTAGATTTGACCGTTTTATATTAGAGTCAAGGTCATTACCTTTTCCCTGGATATTAAGAATAAAAATGACTGCATCCAATCATGTGATAGGGTCTTCTATTTCAAAAGATTGAATGTTTTTCTTTTTGCATAAAAAGATATTACCATATAGGGTCTATAAGATGTTACCAAACTGACATAAATAGTTTAACAAAAATGGATTTTGGTTTTCTTATTTTCGCATATGGTAAAGAAGTTATATAGAGATACACAATGATACAAAAACAAAAAGTTTTGACCGTTGAATAAGAGAGTAAAAACACTTTTTACGGATTTTTGGCTCATATCTTTGCTAAGATTAGAAGCTTTTAAAAGCTAAATAATTGTAGTTTGTTTGGAAAATCATATTTATTTGATATATTTTAAAACTTTAGTCCCTTATTATTAATTTAGCTAACATTTGAAAAATTATTCAAGTCTTTGATTGTGTAAAAATGATAAGTAAATTCGTTATTCAATAATAATTTTGAGAGGCAGAAAAGAAGATATTTTCATACGCCACCATTCCGCTAGTTTTCGAACACAATTTACCATTTCTATTTAAAGTTGTACAATTGTGATGAGGAAAGAAATCTGTGGTCTTTTAAACCTCTTTCACCTAAATACATACGACATATAAGCAAATATACATTGAATATTTCATATATTCAGAAACCCGAGAAGAATCCTACCTTAAGATAGATGATTAGCAAAGGTTAAGGAAAGAAATATAGTCTACATTTCCCTCAATTTTCCCAACTCAACAGAAGTAATGCCTAATGAAGATGCATGTACATGTATTTGGAAAAAAAAATCAAAAACTTACATCTAGCATAAATGCGTCTGTAAAGATTTTATTTAGTGAAACAATATACCCAGTATATAGTTACAATAATGTCTGCTTTTTAAAACAGACTACCTAGCATACCTTCCTAGTCTAAGAATATTGATCTCCTAGTCAAGACCTTGCAATTGGAAATAAACTTGCCATTTTTTTTTTGTCATTGACTAGATTTCATCAATATATGTAACGTATGAAGTTTTTGTTATGGTCGAATTAGAGATTGACAACGATTGGTGATACCAAAATATAAGATATAAATGTATCCATTTGTCGCGTGGTATCGACGTAACCGACAATATAAGATAGCTTTTGAAATTTTCATTTTGGTATTGTCGCCTGGTAACGACGCAGACGACAATATATGCTAGATGTTATAGATTTAGTTTTCCAGCAATATACGTACCAAATCTGCTACAATCTGGTCGTACAGAAAAAAAAAACGCTTTCCAACAGACAAGTCTTAAACACTAAAGAATCTCATTTCGCAAAAAATAAATTTTCTGTACGAAGGTTTAAGACTAGTTTACAGCATCCTCGTAAAATCTTAATTTTTCCTGGAGAGTTAAGGATAATTTTATTGCACCTTAACGAGTTGGGTATTAGATGTTGCAGATCGCTAACAGTTGCTTGCTTCGTGTTGACTGCTGTCAGCGGGCGACCTCTGAACCGACAGGCATATGGAATTCTTAGCTAATTTGTGCGTGCGAGTTATGTCCAATAACACTTTCATTTTTCCCTGAAGATATTCTTTTCATTAAAATCTTTCCCTGTGCGATTGCAACAGACAGGAGACCATTTCCTACCAGGAGGCATTTTTGGGAACTTTCAAAAAAGCCATTTAAATTAGGCTAGTAAAGTAAGCGATGGAATGGTATACATGCGCATGCGTAGATTAGAAGGAGTTCTTTGGTCATGAATGAATGAATTATAGCGAGTAAAATTTATATTTGGTTTGCAGCTAAAACCCTA